CCTCCCCCCCCATCCACCAGTACTCCCACTGGCACCCTCAAAATCAACCTCTTGCACCTCAACTCTTCCAGCCTGGTCACCCACCTCGTCAGAGCCCCCAATTTCGTCCTCGTGCCCTCCTGCCTGCACTCCTGAACTTCAGCCCCCCTGTAATGCTCACATGTACGCCCTGCTAGTCCCCCTTTCTAATCCCCCTCTTGCACCTCAACTCTTCCAGCCTGGTCACCCACCTCGTCAGAGCCCCCAATTTCGTCCTCGTGCCCTCCTGCCTGCACTCCTGAACTTCAGCCCCCCTGTAATGCTCACATGTACGCCCTGCTAGTCCCCCTTTCTACCTCCAGCACTCTGCTATATCTGGGGGGACAGCTCAGAGGCCAGGCTAAAAGGGGGTTTCACAATAGTGGGGACTGGGACAGCACCCTCCCTGATTTCCTACCCCTTCTGGACACCTGTGGGGGGATGGGACCTGCACTCCAACAAAGTAGACTGCTTAGATGGGGAAGGGGAACCACTGGTGGCCAATAGGACTCCCTACACCCCGTCTTTGCTGGGACCCCCAGTTCTCAGCCCCAGACATGCCCTGCTCCAATGAGGCTGCCTTGTTCCCCCAGGCATGCCAAGGTGAAGGGGAAGTTCAAGGAATCATATCTGTCGGCTGCCCAGTCCCTGCACTCCAACAAAGTAGACTGCTTAGATGGGGAAGGGGAACCACTGGTGGCCAATAGGACTCCCTACACCCCGTCTTTGCTGGGACCCCCAGTTCTCAGCCCCAGACATGCCCTGCTCCAATGAGGCTGCCTTGTTCCCCCAGGCATGCCAAGGTGAAGGGGAAGTTCAAGGAATCATATCTGTCGGCTGCCCAGTCCGTCAAGCCACTCATCAACTCGGAGGAGAAGCTGCCGCGGGACAAACTCAACCCCCCCACACCCAGCATCTACGTGAGTGGCAGCGCCAGAGGGCCCATGGGGAGGGGCAGGGCACCAGGCCACACAGCTCAGGGCTCTGATTTGGGGTGGGGCTGGGATAGTACCTCGGGGGTTAGCTGGAGAGGGGCCGACGGGGATGCCAGAGGGGCTGAGGGGGGGACGGGGATGCCGGAGGGGTAGGGGGGCCGACGGGGATGCCGGAGGGGCTGAGGCGGGGACGGGGATG